CAGCATATAGATCATGTTGGATCATATATAGTCTAATTACCTTATTTATAAAATTATAATATATTGAATATTTATTCTCTTTTTCAAAGCATTCTAAAGTTACGTTTTAAAAAAAACGTGGCAATTAACTTGACTCAAAACAATAAAAATAAGAATTAACAAACTTCTTTAATTTTTTCAATTCTTATGTGACAATTTTCGTAGTTTCATGAATTTAAATTTGGACACTTAGCATTTTTTTTTTAATTTTGAATATTATTCAAAGAATTCTGTTGAAAAATTATAATTCAAATCGGTTTTGATTAAAATAAAAAGTTTTATTATCAATTTTCATAATTAAAACAAGCTATCATTAAATTAAGCTATCATTTTTAATACTTCTATTTTTTATACATTTAATCATTAGAACTCTTTTTCTGTAGCACAAGAAATGTATCAGCTAGAAACTTTAGTACAAGAAATATATCAGAAATTTTATAATATTCTAAGAAAAAGTTATAATTTTATCAGTTATATTAAAACTTGGAAAACGGAGCACTAATTTCATAGAAACAAGACGCTCAGATGAAAAATCGCACGTAACTTTTTCTAATAATTCATAAGAATTTATAATGTATAGTATTACTTCCTTTTTGTTGTGTACCACATTTATTTAGAAAATGTAACATCATTATTAATGTATTAATTAATTAATTGTGTAGACAATAATATTAATAAACTTTTAGTATTGTTCCGTTTAACGTATAGCTTGTAGCTTTAGAGCCACCGCTATTTCCTATATGCTCACCCAAAAGCATCCAATAAAGGTGAGCTTCATGACTGATCGTTAATTTAATAAATGATGGGAACACGCCGTTAAACTCGCAAGCACATTATGGAGGATAAAGTATCAGGAAAGACCTACAATCGACAGACAACATTGTCTGTCGCCGCGTCGACGTTTACGATAATGAGTGTCCGATGCTTGCGTGGTATCGATAATGTGCCATTGCTGACGTATACATCAATTTATGCAAGTTTCACGTATATATAGTTATAATTACATGTACATCAATTATTTGAGATGCTGGTCTGCAGGTCGCAATTTTGGCAAAATGCCTCGTCGCGACATTTTTGCAGACTAAAACATTTCGTGTTGTATATGTCTATGTATAATAAACCTTCAGACTAAAGAAGAGAACGATGAACCAACGAATATTACGCTGTTTATTCGTACGTATTACCTACATAGTCGAAGACTTCATCAATCGGACTTTCTTCCACCATTATATTACGCTGCTTCCCCGAACATGTTTTTAATCCAAAGTTTTGTATCGGTTTCGAGATACAGGAAAAGAGATAAAGAAAAAGAGAAGGAAAGAGAAAGAAGAGAGAGATGACGGGGGTGCATTTATGTGACCGTTCGATAAAGGGCGTTCGTTCGTCGAACCTCTCTCCTCGCTACCAATATAACCGATTTTAGTGCCTCGTGAAACCAAGATCCTTTTCATTAAAGCTTTTACTGCTGACTAAATACGGCGAACTGCGGCGAAGGGCTGGGTAAAGCGGGGCAGAATATACGAATGAGGACGGGTGGGAGGAAGTTCTAATCCCCCGAATGTTAACTTGGATTACGTGCAAACCGACCGACCTTCTCCCTTTACCACGGCCGGCTAATAAAGACTGGAGTAGTGTGCATAGTAACCTATTCAATTGAAAGTACAGATACACCGTGTGATCGAGCAAACGTCCGCAAGCACGACGAGACAAGATTCAATCGATATTGGATATTTCTACATCGGATTGAAAATTGAATAACTCATACGGTAGGTCAAAGTATCCTCAAAAATTGACAGTAAAATGTCCGTCAGCAGAGAAGAATTCACGCGATTGACGAATGAAAATAAGTCGATCGCATAAACATAAAATCTTAAAAATCTTGCAATTTTACATAAACTTGCAATATTTAAAAAAAAATGTAAGAACAGGTATATTTTGTGAAATTGTAGCTATTAGAAATACAAATTCGAGCACATTTTACGTATTACATATAAATTATTCTTTGTAATTCATACTTATTTACTTATTTCTCTGTCATTTTTGCCTTTTCTCACATTTACTAGTGCAAACTCGAGAAATAAACAAACAAAAAAAAAAGAAACTTTATAATCTTTCATGCTTGAACACGTAGGGATCCTATTATGTTACGCAATGGAACGAATAAAATCCTATGCATCTTGATGGTCTGTGCTTATTCATTTATTAAGTTCATTATTTAGTTGTATTCGAGAATGCACACGGTGTGTCGGTGTACGCATCAACTGAACGCCAAGTTACTTTATTTCGTATCATTGGCTCGCTGTTTAAAGAAGCATCGTTTGTGCGTCAGTGTGTGCTTTAAAAGACGAGGTCGTCGGTAGAACGTCGAGGAGAGACTATACGCGTCCAGACGGCGACGTCGTTGACGGCGCCAAGCGCCGTGCTAACTAGCACCCCTAACACACATATATACACATGCCCACGCCCTTTATTAAACGTCGCCATCCCCGTCGGCACCCCTACGCGTCCTCCTTCATAAAATTGAACACGACGTGTACACCTGAAAGAAAACGGACGGGCTCGGCAAAAATCAGAGCGAGAAGACGAAGGGACTCGTGCGACGGTCATTAAGCCCGAAGCTTTTTATTCTGATAGAACGACCTGTCGATTTGCGCGAATTTAAGTGTACTATTCACACGCGTCGCTTTTTTATCAAAATAATTCAGTTTTTTAGATAAGAAAGATTTTTTACGCTGATATTTATAAGTTTTATTAATTATGTTCCTTCAAATTATGTTCCCTATAAATATATCCAAGTATTTAATAAAAAAAGTAGTATTAATTGCATATAGATTTTAATTTAAAAATGTTAAAGTATCAGACTATACCAAATTTTTCTTTCCTTTAGAAAATATATAAAGAATCTATATTAAATATCCTCCCTCTCAATGATATCTTTTGATAGCTCTATAAATAAAAATAATACATTTAAACTTATAGACATACATAAAGCAACATTTCGTAATGAAAAAATGTATCTATTACAAATTTTTAATTTTTATATATATTTTCTATATGTATATTTCCGTATATTTCATATTAGTTTTTTATTTACGTTTTTTTTTTTACAAAAAGGGTCAATATTCAGGAAAAAAACATATTAACTAGTAATTTTTTCAATAATATTTTCTTGACCTTATATTTATCTCTCTTTCATCCAAAATAATTTTTTATAGTATTTTTTATCATGCATTTTTTATATTAAATCTCAATGACAAATATTCTTTTACATTGCATGTCAATTAAATTTAGAAGCTAAAAGATCAATATATCAGAATATCTTTTTTATTTTAACTAAAAATTGTGGTCATCTGTAGAAACAATGACGATCTACATTTAGTCGCTATTATTCCATTACTTGTAACCAGAGTCGAGCACTTGTGACCATCTCGAATGACTAACGATCTGATGAGATGGAGAATGATTGATATCGGACATACATACATACACTCTTGACTATTAATTAACTTTACTAATACGATGACGAAACAGTACACAAGGTTCTCGTGTAATTTACTAATGAAATGCTATACGATATCATTAATTCAAATATACTGTATTAATATGTATGCATAATAATATAACATCAAATAAGAAATATAGATATTATATACACGTTTCGTGGATTATCTCCGCGTTCAAATTCACTTTTAGAATGCCAATGTTTCGTGAACATTCACTTCATCAGGGCGAAGAACAGCCTGATAATATATTACGCGAAATTTAATTATGCATAATTTCTGTACAGAAAATGTCTTCAAGAGAGTTAAATAAGAAATATAATACATATAAAAATGATGAAGGATAATATTAATGGATAAAGGATAATTCCTCTGAAATTAGGATCCATCAACGACTAATTACAAAGCTATGTAGCTTCAAAATCAAGCGATTCTGGCGAATTAAACTTCAGGGAACTTGTAATAAATCAAAATCTTATCCACCCATTACGTTACAGGTTAACCCGAGAACGCAATAGCTCTTAAATAGATCGTATTAAATTATTTGACTATTGATAATACGTGCCAAAGGAAATTACTAGGGATGCACCGGTTCATAACATTACCGGATACCGGATATCCGGGCAGAATGTAACATCGGATATCCGAGAAGGCAATTTCTTTGAGTTGGATATCCGACATTTTTCGGATATCCGACCGGATTCCGAGAAAATGTCTTATAAAAAAAAACCTATAGGGAAAAAAATTGTAATTTTGTTGATATCCGGCTGTCGTAGTAAAAAAGTGCCGGATTCCGGATGTTCGGTGCATCCCTAGAAATTACATAAATAATGACAATGAAATACGTATATTTAAAATAGTACATACGTGCTTTCATATTGTCGTGTATACTCATTAAATAAATATATTGCAAAGAATCATTACAATTAATGAATAACTGACTACAAATTTTGATAATTTATGGATAAATATCAAAGGGAAAAATATCAATAATTTACGGATGAATATCAAAGAGAAAGATGTCTTAAAGACATTACATCTTTAATAATCCTGGTACCAGATAGCACAGGACGTTCAAAAATAATTCAGTCATATGTCGTCAATTTTGAATTCATTTTCAGATGCAAAAAGAATTCTTTTCAGAACTTTTCAGAAAAAGAATTCTTTTTTGCATCTAAAAGCAAACTTAGAATTAATGATATATGATGGAATTCTTTTTGAATTCTTTTCAAACTCTCTGTGCTATTTGTGATCGCAGTGTGCTTAAAAACCGACAATTTTTTAAAGCCCATTATAATCTCTAAGATGAAGACTGCGCGGACTAAATATCGACCCTACCGGTTTGTTAAGCGCCTTCACCCTCGACTTTCTAAATTTAGTCGACTCGCGATCGTTCGATGCCATTCTTTTTACTTACCCCCGAGCGAGTCCACCGCCAGCCTAATCGTGTTAATTTTGTAGTCGCTGGTTCCTTTGAAACTGTGTGGATGGGGTTCGCCGCACTGTTCCCTTTGATTCCCGTACCACACCGCCAGTGATTAACCTGAGGGAAAAAGGTGTGTAAATAAACTTTTACTCCATACAATCTTATTTCTGTTTGTCACGGCTGTGTCAAATTCACGAGGTAAATTCTTTGATGCGGGAACAAAATTGATTTCTCTTTTTTTCTGAAAGTCTAAGAAAAGAGCGCTGCAGTTAATTAAGTTCAGTAATTATCTCGAAGTAAATCTTCTAATAAACCTTGACATACGATTTCTTTATATTATATTTATTTATGCTTGTCATAACAGCAACCGCAAAGAAGGATACAAATTCAATATGATTTTCGACAAAATTTATCTGAAAAAATATAGAATAATATTTATTCTTGATCAAAAAATTTTATCATTTGACAAAAAATAATACTTTAATAAAGTACTGTGTTATTATAATTATTATACGCAAAAACAATTTTGCTAAAGTAGCTAAAAATTTAGCTAAATACAAATTTGGAAGTAATTTTGTTGGGCCATATGGAACAATATAAAGTTCAAAAGTCAAGACATCAGATATTTCCGGCCGGGTTGCATCAACGTTACTTTAACTTTAAGCAAGTCTTAAAACTTTCTCTCTGTCTTTGTCTCTCTCTTTCGCTTTAAAACGAGACAGAGAGAGTTTTGAGTCTTGCCTTAAAGACATTTAAAAGATATCTTCAGATAGATTTAAAAAAATTATCCTAAAAACATTCGTCTTATCCTGATGTCCTGATTTTAGATTTTATCTAGAGAAAGTATATATACATATGCAAAAAAATAGACTTAACTTACGGTCTGACACAGATAGACTACATTGTGCTTATGCATCCATGTTAAATAATTTGACATAATTTATATTTCAAGACTGAGGGATAATAAATTTACTTCATAATTTTATGCACAATATTAATGCGACGTTAAAAATTTTGATTTGTTTAGATTTTTTTTTGACTCACCAATTTATTTATTTATATTTGTAACTATTCTTTGGTTAATTAATTCTTATATTAAATTATATTTGTAACTTTTATAATGGATGATATAAATCATTACATAATTTTATGCATAATGTTAACGTTATATGCATATGTTAATGCGACGCGTTAAATTTTTATTTGTTATTCTACATTTTCTTTTTGACGCTTTAACTCTTATATTAAATTATATTTTAAACTATTGTATTATAATAATTTTCTGTTCTTATATTTATTACAACTATGACATGACATTATATATGTTAAATATGTTATATACGTTATATATGTTAAAATCAATACGAATGTACTGTCTTTATATTTTATATTTATTATTACTTATTGTTTTCCGTCGACCTGACTTTTGTCAATTTAAACGTTTCGTTGAACATATTTGTCACTTCGGATGACTTGGACAGAGTGACAAACAAATCTACATAAAATGTATCATAAAATGTGATTAGTTGTGAATATTAATATATCATCCAAAGTTTTATGATGAGATTTGGCGATCATGTTGAATGAGTTATTCGTTACTTTATTGGTTGAATTTAAATATCTCAAATATATAAATTTAAACAAATTATACTGCAGTTTTGGCAATCTGCGAGTGATTCTACCTTCGCGAAATCTAGTATGGATTAAGAAAATTGCTGATGAAAATTCCAAAGAGAATCGAAACGTTCAAGATTTTTCAAGATTTCAAATAAAGAAGATATTAACACTTTATATGGATTAACAAATTTATTTATAAATATTTTATTGCGCACCTCTGTTCGCGCTGACTTTCATTAGCTCAGATGTAGTTTGTTTTTTATTATTTTAGATTTTATGTTGTCTAGGATCAAAATATTAATAAATTATGGTTGTGTTCCAAAATTTACTGCCATCAAAAATCTATAATGCGTACATATAAACTATATATTGTTAGAAACGAAAAGTAACATGTAATGGGGAAGTTTGTAGTCATGAGGTAACTGAAAAGTATATTATAATGAATGATTTAACTGAAAACTATATTTATAGTCTTAAACTCTTACCGTACAAGATCAGGCTACTATAATAATCGAGCGATTCGTGCAAGTTTCTTTGAGTCTTTCGGTAATTATAAATTATACTACATTTTATTATTTTTTAAAATGAAGTTTCAATATTTATTTTAGAAAGTTGAAAGTATCCCAGATAGCAAGCTGTCGTTATTTTGACGTCAACAGTTAATCATTTTAAATTATTGACGTCATGTGACCTATTTAAGATATAATAATGACGTCATCTTTTTAACTAATTAATGACGTTTTTACAATGTCATACTTAATGTCGAATAAATGGTCAATTGTCAACGTACTAGTAACATTAGTGATCAATTAATAACATCATACAATTTATTCCGTTAATAACATGAAAATAATGATGTATTTTTTATACCAATTTATAACATTATGTGATTGAAGAAATATAAGAATTCACGTCATTTTTACGAGATTTAGACGTCAAGGAGCTTATTGTGGTTCTTAAAATGAAGTGGAAATTACAAAAGTAATTGAATTTACTAGAATATTTATAACTTCAATATCTAGCAAATTTGTTCATTTTTGTAATTTTCACTTCGTCTCAGGAACCGTAGAGATTCGTCATAAGAATAACTAATTAATGATGCCAAATGGACGACACCTTGCTGCCTGGAATGTTAGTGAATTTTTAGAGATTTTTTTTTAATCATTCTAAGGCGTGTTCAGATTTCTATCCGGATGTTCCCCAGGTATCATGTCATCCTTGTTTAATATACTATAAACAACAAGGATGGAGTGATACCTGGATCATGAGTGATACTCGAGTAGGTATCTGAATAGGTGAAAAAAACCGACGGATTCTAATGATCTCCATATTTGGACAGATGAGTTACCAAATTGTATCTTGTATTGTAAGGGTATAAATGTAATAAATTGTCTATGCATGTATGACGTTGTCGAAGATATACGAAATACAAATTAAATATTTATTGATATCAATTGCATCAGAAGAAGAAAATAGCATTGTCTTTGTTTACAGTATTAATAATTATGTATAACACTTGTATTATTTTTTTACTTTTAAATATTATCTCCATAGTGCTTAAACGTCACAGTTACGTCATCACAATAATTATGGTACGTCATGGTGACGTGAGAATGTCCACTTCATCATAAGTGTGATGTCACAGTAATGTCATGATGGTGTGTCGTTATCATGACATAAAAAGCTTTTACATAGAAGCTTTTATATGCTTTTTACACCATGATTTTTACAATAACATGTATTATTTTGTTAAGACAACTTACAGTAGGCCTGTCCAATTTGAGCTCCGGAATCAATTTAACGCAAAGTCATTAACGCAAAAAGATTCAATGTAAGATTCCGGAGACTATTGATACGCATCTAATAGCGTTTTTCACTTCTTCCAGTAAAAAATACTAAGGCAAACACTCACATCGCTCGTGAATCATTTCATCCTTGTATATCGAATGTTAAACAAAGACAAATGATACTCGCGAACGTTTCGAGCGTTAAGTGGAACGCAGCCTAATGACGTTTATCAACACTTCATAATTCTAAAATCTTACTGACATTGAATTTTTTCACGTCGATGGCTTTGGCTCCGGAGCTCAAATTAGAGCCGTGATCCAATTCATGCTGATAACGCTCATGAGCATCGTTTGTCTTCGTTTAACATTTGATAAATAACAAGAATGAAAAGATTTTTAAACGTTGTGAGCGTAAATCGGACTGCGATTATGATCTACAGTGACATATTTTTTTTCGACTGACTATTTGTGACGCGAATGTAACGTTTAATTATGAGGGGGAGGGGGGGAGGGGAACTAAAATTTTCATTTGTCTTGACTAACCTGTTATGTATGGCGGATTTAGGCAATCAATCAAAAGTCGCGAACTCATTATATTAACTTTTATTGTACGAACACTCATTTTTTTCTACGCGATTCACTTTTTTCCAACGAAAAACACGAAAGAGACACGAAGCGATCTCACTTCAAGCTTCAAATGGCGCGAAATCAACATGGCCGCCGTATCGCGACACTCACTGCAAGAATTAAGGTGTCTTTTCATGCTGACGTTCGACGCTGATTTTTAGCATCAAAGCAAGTCACACGATAAAAATTGACGAATATCAAGCGTTAATTTTGATCACGAGACTTGTTTTGATGTTAAAAATGAGCGTCGAACATCAGCAGGTGGAAATAAGGCACTTTTAACTGTCTAGTTCAGACTGGACGTAGCAAACGTCAAGCAGCGGAGCAGTAACCAATCAGCGAAGCGATATTTACAGTAACATAAAAAATATTGTTCATTGGTTTCTGCAGCACTTGATGCTTGCTGCGTCCAGTCTGAAGTAGGCATAATATACGAACACGGTCCTGGTCGGACCGAAAACATCAATAATAATTTGGTAAAAATTAAAAAGCGAACAGAAACCAATATTACTTACGTCCATCATTTTATGTCGTATTATGACGAATTTTTTCAAGCGTGGTAATTATATAATAGCTGCGAGACAAAGAGGATTTCGGATCTCTTTGTTCTATAGTCAATCAACAGACTTGAAAAATTTGTCGTACGAAAAAAAATGGGCGCATGTAATATTGACCTTAAGCCCGATGTCCACGATGCTAGAAATCGGTCCGAGATCTTGAACAGAAAAAGTATTAACAAATTACATTTGGACAATTTGGTCATATGATCAATGTGATTAATCAATTCTAGAGTTCCTCTTGTAAGAGTTAAGATATTGTATAAGACTGGAAAAGACGCCATTGCCGGGTGGCCGAATTAGGATAATTCCACCATGGTTGACAGTTAAGCCCGTTTCCATCAATATTAACTTTAATCTCGATTCAACTTACCCTTCGTCTTTTTTTAATTCTAAAGATTAGAAAAAGACAAAGAGTAAGTTGAACCGAGATTAAAGTTAATCTACGTTGGTGGAAATGGGCATAATAGTCCGATTTCGCGTTTGCGCTTTCTGAAACAGTTGTTCATACCAATTCACAGATTCATTACCATATCGAAAGTATCTGCAAATGGCGGCATTTAAAGGAACTCAAAATCTGACCAATCAGAGATCGGTACCCCTTATGACTTGATTCTTATTAGAGGGACTCTCAATTCTTTCTTTATCCGATGTCTAAGCACTGAACTATGACCCATATTCAGAATGCACACAACGATATTAACGCGCTAACGTGCTATAATTTACGTCACGCATACTATAGAATTTCAGAGATAAAAGCGCGCCAAATTAAAATGGCGCTGATCAATTGGTGCCACGATTTTTTTCTATGCTTCACAGCGGAGATGCTCATTTCAAGGTACAGTCACAATAGAAAGAATAATGATTTCAATTTATCAGATATCGGATACACTGAAATATACGATTTCTGATACATCGGAATCCTTATTCCTTATTTCTAATTCCTTATTCCTTCTATTGTAGCCGCACCATCATTGTGTATATAGTTCAGTGCGTCTAGGATCGATTTTTAGCATCGTGGACATTGGACTTTAAAACCTTGTGGTCTGCTACGTGATCAGACGTGATGCACCATAACCTTTTCCAAAAATGACACAAGTGTTGAATAGATTACTGCTTAATAGACATATTTATCTTTCATTTAAAAACAATAAAAGATTTGCCGGTCATAGCAAATGGCAAAATATAAAGCACATAAAAGAAGAAAATGATAACAAACGGATGGTACTGTTCCATCATCTGAAAATACAAATGACGATTGCAATACACGGTAATGTAATGTTTATTATGAGTTATATCATTTATTAAAATAAAATCCCATGTATGTGTACGAAACGTACCAAACAGATTTTACTTGCGTGATTAATAGCATTTGAATATATTTTTGTAACGTACTTACTTATACTTTGTTTGTGTTTTGCTATAAAGTGCATTTAATTTTATTGAATAATAATATAGGTTAACACAACAAATTTTTTAAATCTGGAGATTTAATTATTTTATGTATTTTTATGTATTTTGACACTGTAAAACTGAATCTAATGTGGAAGATCGCTTCATCATGTTACAATTTTTTTCTATCGATGAATATAGTTTGATTTTTCAGCATATTTAATCTGTCAACTTGCATATTAACTTTATAAGCTTGTTTATTATCATTGAACTTATCTTCTCTCATTTATCTACTAGGTATATTGAAAACTAGATTATAATTGACTGTTAAAATACAGAAAAATCAAGCTATTTTCTAATGATAAAAAAAATTGTAATTTAGGTATCGAATTCAGTTTCAGAGCATCAAAATACATAATACTCTGCATACATAGAATCTCTGAATCAAATATTAAATTTTGTTTTGCTTATGTAATTTGTGAAAAAATAACAATCTTTTTTAGAGGGTGGCACTACAAACCCAAATAATAATTTAAAATTATCACAAGTCATTGAACGAGCCAGAAAGGCAAATATGCCTGTGGCATCGATAAAATCTTTCCTCGACAGAATAGAGGCACGGAAAAACAAGACTCAAACAGGTGTGATAGAAGTTCGTGGACCAAATGGTTATATCATGCTCGTATGTTATATAACGGATAACCCCAAGTTTTTCCTAATTGAGCTTAATTCAAAACTTAAAAAAACCAAGTATGAACAATATGTATATTTCTAATGTATAAATACCTATAAGTATTCGAAATATGTTATACAAAATATTAAGTTTGTTTTCTTAACTAAATTCCTTGCACCATCCTTCTTTTGTTTTTGCTTCAATATAAGAAAAAAAGAAAAGTGGACTGTGCAAGAAGTTTAACTGAAAAGAAGAGGTTTCTAATATCTTAGGATATTTGAAAACAAATTTTACTTTACAAGATAAGTCAATTAAAATGTTACAAATTTATGTCGGAAACAAAGCATTTTAGAGAAAAATGTTTCATACAAAAGCTGTATGATTTGGAGAGGGACATAAGATGGTGCCATTGGTTTGATCTTGCAAAGTTGTTTGAAGGTTGCAAAAAGCGAATTATCAACTTCTTAAATGGAATCCCATATATTTCATTGCATATTCTAATAGCTTATCTCAAGAGCTTCCTAAAACACTATAGAATCTTTTTTCGTTGAATATTTTTGGAGGCTTGTAAGGCTTGAAAGTTACAGTGCCGCCGGTATTAGTATTATCACCGACGACATACTATTAAAGACCCTCGGCGCTGAAAATTCGCGTGTTAACATTTAAGTGATTAAAAGTAATAAATTAATAATACAGTATTAATTTCATAATTTATTAATTTTGTAGACATGTACATATGTTTAAAACTTAATAATACTCGATTTTTATTTAAAATTGTGATTTTAATGATATCCGAGTTTGATTATCAATAGAGATGATAATTGCAGAGGAAAAATTGTAATTTTTCGGCAATATATAAGACATTATATCATCAAAAGTATGTATACTTATTTATACAACATTTATATAATAAAAAAAATCACGAATTTAATAACGTCATCGAAATATGTATGTTAATAATCATAAATTTTTATTAATTGTCAGTAACGTCATCGTTCTTCAATTATCCCTGGGCCCCATTGATAGTCACGAAAATTTGCCCAGGGTCGAGGGTCTTTAATAATATTAGGTGTTGGAATTAATTCGTAGCGTTTTACAAGTGATGGGAAGTACTTTCATTAATGTATTTTTTAATGCTCATGTGAAATAAATAACATTCTTTCATTAAAAACGCTACGAATTAATTCCAACACCTAATATTATATCTCGTTGGTGGCATTACCTCAGATGTCCAATCAATGGGTAAAACTTTTTGAATTGTTCAGAACTTAAATAATATTTGTCAAAGCGAGATTGTACTTCTTATTTTCATTTTTATTATTTAGTTTTTGTAAAAATGAAAATAAAAAGAACCTCCAATGGTCTTGATAAATATTATTTAGATCATGATCTTGAACAACATTCAAGAGATTTTAGCCGTCGGTCGGACATCTTAGATGGAATGCTAATTTCAGCTGCACTGTAACTTTCATGCCTTATAACTTTAAAAGTATTTAATAAAAAAATATTTTATTATAATATTTTGGGAAGCTCTCGAAGTAAGCTATAAGAATATGCAATGAAATATATGAAGTTCCATTTAAGAAATTGATTTTCAAACAACTTCCCAAGATCAAATTAGTTACACGTTATCTTACACTCTTATACACCTTTTGTATGAAACATTTCTCTCTAAAATGCATTGTTTCTGATATAAATTAATAACATTTTAACTGACTCATTTAGTATAATAATCTGTATTCAACATATAATTCTTTTATATACAATTATAAGAGCCATGAATTAAATATTTCAAAATGTATGTCTCTCATCTAATATTTATTTTTTAATTTTATAGAGGAAAAACTACAAATACTTCTGCCAAAAACATGTTTACTCATACAGGCAATATTATAGTTAAAAAGAAAGGTAATTTGGAACAAGCTATGGAGGATGCTATTAACATTGGTGCGGAAGATGTAGAGGAATTCATGGAAAATGATATGGAATATTTCCAGGTATCCAATAAACACTTACTTTCTAAAGAATTATAAATAAAATCTTTTACTATAAATATGTGGCGAAGAACATACATATTTGTATATGCATATGGAAAAATATTATAATTTATATGTTTATTCTCAAAATTGCAATTTGTTTATTAATTTTCTTTGTTACAGTTTAAATGCGAGCCGAAGCTCTTAAACAAAATAAAATGTCTTTTAAAGGATCGTGAATATTGTGTACTTTTAGCAGAAGAAGATTATGTACCACAAACTGTAATAGAATTAAATGAATCAGATTTGGAAGCTGTTTCTCATATCCGCGAAAGAGTTTTGAACTTAGAAGATGTCAATAAAATACATGATAATTTAGCATAAAAAATTATATATATGTAAATAATAAAAAAAGATATCAATCATACATTATATATATACATTTGATATAATTATAAGAACTATTTAAAAAATTCAGAAAATATAAATTTTGTGTATTATATATTTTTAAAAATTTGAACAAGAAATATAAAGTATATTTCAAGCTATTCCGATATAAGATTTTTTTGTCTAAACACTTTATTGAAATCAAACATTATCAATTAAATAAATACAGAAAATAAATAAATTTAATTTCACCTTATAAAATAAATTATATCAAACACTTTTTTCAAAAATTTTTTCAATTTATTAAATAATTTTCTATTATTTAAAATCAATCAATATTAATATTACACACAATGTGTAATTTTTTTAAATATATATTATACATATATATATGTATATTTATATACATACACGCATTTAATGTCAAACATATCATTATATGTATATATGTCATTTTTTTTTAAATTAAACATTTTGCATATATATATATTTTTTTTAAATAACTATGTATTTTTTTTATCAATTAATTTATCTCATTATTCTGTTCACAAAAATATTAAGAAAGTTTATCAAAAAATTAATCCTTTATGAGATATTTCATATTTCATCTCAATATGTGTCAAACTAAAATATACATAATCTCGTAAATTTTTTATATCTCTAACTTAATACTTTTATAGAATAATAAGAGGTATCATATTATATTAAAAAATCATATAATTTTAAAAATAAAGACTTTCATAAAATTTTTATAAGGCTTCCTCCTAGAAAAAAAGGATATAGTTCCGAATAGATATGATCCTCGCGATTAACTTGAAATTTTGCACACAAATTCTATTTAATATGAGAAATAAAAAAACAGTCTCAACTTCGAGAAACGAAAAAAAAATTTTTTTATTTTACCTTTTCGTTCAGGTAGATCAACTTTGTGTGGAAAGTCGTGCGCCTTTTGACAGGGAAGAGGTAGGATGGGAGTCGCTTCTAAGCAGGAGGAAGATGAGTTGTTTCGCGTGGAAGTCGTGCACTTCTAAACAGGAGAAGAGAGTTTTTCATTTCTCGAAATTAAGACTATAAGTTTTTTATTTTTTACATCAAAAACTTATATGTAAAATTTCAAATCAATCGCGAGCAGGGGTCATTCGGAACTACACCAGAGAAAAAACAACGCGATCAAAACACGTCTCCCTCGAAATTCCACTTTCATCTAAAATATTTTCTGAGATATTTGACCCATTACATTTGAAATAAAACACTCTGTACATAAATACATATATGATAATTATAAAATTGTTTGTAATTATAACATGTACATATTGTTATACGTCAAAGAATATCAAAAAGCTACCATGAACTAATGTTAAATGTTAAATGTGGAATAAACTGACTGTATATTATTTCTGCACGTAACATGCAGCGTTGGCTCATGATAATCCTTTGATTCTTTAACGTATATTGAATTTTTAATTTTATTGAACTATTAGTTACTTTATATTTTTGTATAATTACATAATTATAAGTATAAAATTCTTCTCAAGTCAGAGACTGTTTATCATTTGTTATAAAAAATGTTTCATTACCAAAATTATTCCACGTATTATTGCTCGCTTTCAACATCCATACCGTATCCCTTTATATTATGAATATTAGAACCTGGAAATTCTAATATTGCATTGTTATGGAAAAGTGTTATTAACATTTTCTTTGGCATCCTTGCTTTTATACTCCATGGACTATTGATTATATTGTCGATAATATCAATAACATTTCCCTTTTTTGAAGGCGTATCAGTAAACTCTGTATTTTCTATGTTGTCCTGTTTTGTAACATTTAGGTCTACAACTTCTTCGTTAAGATTGGAAGAATCTTCTACGTCCGATACATTCTTATCTTTTAATTTCTTGCTTTTTTTATCCTTTTTTGCTAATTTTTTGATATTTGAAGTTTGTTCTTTGTCAGCGTTTTCTTTATCAGAGATTTCCCTCTCTATATTACATACATTAATTTCACTCAAACATTCTTCTTTGTTGACGTGTTTTCTTTTTTTCTTCTTTTGTTTAGTTTTTTCTAATGATTTTTCTTCTTCAGTGACAGGAACTGTGCACTGCAATGTTTCAATTATTACAGCCTTATTTTCATTCTTGATTAAATAATCATTTTGTTGTTTTGAGTTTGATTTATCCAATATCTTAATATCTTGTTGATCATTATGTATTTCAGTTTGAATATGTTTTTCATTCTTGCAATTTTCCTTTTCTTTTTTCTTTTTCTTTTTACATTTCTTAGATAGTACTGTTTCTTCTTCTTTACTGTCTTTAATTTTTAGGATTTTTTTATTGTTAATTGCTTCTATAATTTCAATATCTGGTTCTTCGTTTATAGTACGAAGTACTGTAATATCTTCAACTTTGGCTCTTTTCTCTTTTTTGTCTTTCTTCTTTTTTTTCTTTGATTTTTGTTCCACATTGTCCGTTTCCCCATTTTCAATAATATTAGAATCTAAAGTATTTTCTGATTCTATAATGATCTCAATTTCCTTTTCTGGTGACTCTTGTATCGTTTCCAGATTAGACGTTTTACTTATTCTTCTCTTCTTAATTTTTTTATTCTTGTGTTCATTCAACTCATTATCATTAATTTCTTCGGTTAATATTACTACGTCTAATGCTTCGTTAACAATTCCGTTCATCGTAGAAGTCATAGTGCTCTCATGTTTCCGTTTCTTTTTATTCTTTTTAATTTCAACTTCAAATTTATCCAATGTGGCTTCTCCTTTCTTTTTCTTCTTAATGGAATTTACATTATATTTGTACAACATGACATGATCGTTAAATGTTACGCGTTTCTTGTTATTTCTTTCGTCCGTCAGATCTAAACCACAATTTTCAAGGCCAAGTTGTGCTCTGAATACTTCAAATTCCTTGCCATTGCAATCCTCCTCAGACTTTATGTCTAGATTAAGAGCTGGATTAGTAAAACCATTTTTATAATCACTATCAATAGTTTCAGTTTTTAATTTTTTTCTAGCATTATTTTTATCTGTTTCAATGATATGCGAATTATCACCTTCAAAATCCTTTTTTCTCTTTATAGACTTTGCAGAAGAGTCATTAGTACTACAAACAGTTTCTACAGAACTATTCAATCCCAAGCAAGGATTATCAAAAGCATAATTGTTCTTATCATCAGAGTTTTTTAACACTCCATAACTAGACACTGATGTATCTTCTGTTTTTGGTATAAATCCAAAACCAATGTGTTGGTCATTTTCACTTTCAGAATCAGTTGTTCGGTTATCAGTTATACTTGATAAGTTTGTATCATTTTTTGGTTTTACATTATATTTCAAATAATCAGTCATATTACTATTTAACTTAAGTTTAAAGTAGTCAATCATGTTACCGCCATTAATTGTGTTGACTCCATACCAATTGTCTCTGCCATCAGTTTCTTTTTCACGAATATCATTTTTTTCTATCATGACTTGAGTTTTCTCAATTAATTCTTTTTGGCCGAATATATTTGCCAAATCTTTTGATTTATATCTATTTATATCTTTGCCGTGCATAAACTTCTTGTAACTGCAAATAAATTAATATATTTTTTAAATTATATATTAAGAAACATTTATTAGTATTTTTATTTAAAAAATATTAATATATTCCTATAATATATACTTACTATATATATATATATATATATATACTTAAACATCATAAAAATTACTTTGAATTTTGTCTAAATCTGAGTGTATACACATCTTATATTTATATATTATATTTATAGAAATTAGAAAATAATGCTTACTGTACACGAGCATGATTTTGTTTAGATTTCAGCTCAATAGATTGTTCATTGAAATTAGCATCCGCATCTACTGACTCTTCAACAGCATCTTGATCTTGATTTCCATTAAGTTGCTGCAAAAAACTTCCAAATTTCTCCTGCTGTTCAGTCCATGCCTCAAAATTTTTATCATATCCTATACCTTTAGAAAGCAAATATGATTCTGCTTAAACATTCACTGTTAAAAATGTCATGAAATTTAATGTACATTTAAATTACACAAATTAAATTCAATTTCATGACATCACATTAAATTTTGTATCTATAATTGAAATTTGTACATTTGCGTATATGTACATGAAATTGTGGCTACAGTCAAAGTTTCACTACAAATGGTTCGAAACGTTTGATTGATTAATTAAAAGAAAAAATTTTACAAATTGATCAATCAAAAACTACTTTCAAACATTTGTAGCATCAAATTGATTGTATCCTTAGTGTACTTTTCATAAAATTTTATGAAATTTAATATACTTTCTATTAAACTATGTGGATTTGCACGAAATTTAATAGATATGAACATTATATTTAAATTGCTTGTAACTTCTCTCTCACTTCCATTTCATTAGCAGCATTAAATATTTTTAATGTACCTGCTTGAAATTTATTTCCATTACATTTTTTTTAACAGTGTAACACTTAATAATTATGTGAAAATTATAAATGTTTTAATTACCAGTTGTATCGTTCTTGTGCGATGTACTGGAAAATTCTGTAATGCCTTGTTCATTAATGCCAAGTCCTTTTCCTTTTGTCCAACCCATCTTCTCCAACATTCTCTGGCCAAATTTGTTGGAATCTATTAATAAAGTTATCGACATATTAATATAGAAAATATGAATCAAAATCACAAATTTGTGTATAATAGATCCAATATTCAGACTATAATGTATAAGTCATCAGAGAAATAAATTCTTCATATTCACAGCTTTTATATGCCTTGAAATATATGATAATTATACAGTTTAGCTATAGCACTTTAAAAATCAATAAAATTAGACTTATTCGACGCGTTTTTGCATAAAAATGAAAGACTCTGGCAGAAAAAAATGGTCTGGGACTGCCCTGCAAAGCGAGATATTGAGCATTAAAATTGACTAAAGAATTACTGTGTAGCTAAATTATATAATTATCATATGTATATATATTTATATATATATATATATATTTATGTTTATACACACATACACACACACACCATACACACACATATTCACCTTCGGTCCACCACTTCCCCCGTGGATTGAGGGTCCACTTTTGCTTTTGCCGGCGCTCCGCAAGCATAGACATGCTTTCTGATTTAACTATCAATCTAGTTTTTTTATGTAGCAGTATTGATGCAATTAAAATAACAGAACCTCACTTTTCTTTATGACATTAGCTCCAAAAGCTCTTTTTCTTCCTACAAAACAGATTTACATTAGAGTACTTCGACAAATACAGAACGAAGACATGAACCGAGCCCATGGAAGACTCCACTAATCCATGGTAAAAATAGGTGTAAGGTGTAACGGTGTAATCAAAGAGAAGCGGCCATGTCCGAAGTTAGCTGTTAAGGCTTAAGAGAACAGGGAATAACAAGCTGTCCAATCAGAGCTCTGGGATAATATCGAACTTACATACCAGAGCTCTGATTGGACGGCTCGTTATTCCCTGTTGTCTGTGCCTATTGCCTGTATCTATTGTGTTTAAGCTTTAACTTTATTTTGAAGCGCCCCTATGTCTATAAAATGTGAACATTGAACTATGTAGCCAATGCCCATGATTCGGTCGGTAATGTCCACGACTTTTTGGTTGTATTCTTCGCTATATCCACAAATTTTGGTCTGTTAGATAGACAGAGACGAACAATCATGGGCTCCGCACAATAAAAGGAACAGAGAACAGAAAATAAAGAATACGAATTTCAACCTATCGGAAATTGTATATTCTATAATACATGATTTCTGATAGATTGAAATTCTTATTCTCTGTTCTTTGTTCCCTATTCCTTTTATTGTGCAGCTTCTAAGGCCCGTTTCCGCTAACGCAGATTAACTTTAATCTCGATTCAACTTACTCTTTATCTTTTTCTAATTCTAAAGATTGGAAAAAGAGTTGAACCAAGATTAAAGTTAATTTATTCCATTGGTGGAAATGGGCATAAATCTGTCGGCGCTTGTAATGAGTCTTGTTACAAAACAACTTAGTTTTATCTATCTAACGGACCGAAATTTTATATTAAATTTATACATCATCGATTTTATTTTTACATTGGGGACCCAGCAAACGAGAATGGATTAAAATAAATTGAAATGGATTCAGATTTTCAGAAATATTGATTCACGAATGTTAAAATGAATGCTTTTTAATCCTGAATGCATTTTTATTCATTGATAGGAATTGCATGGAGATATCTCTATGCCTTTCAATTTAAAAATAATATTAACTTTTTCTGTGCATTGTGAATTTAATTTAAAATGTTGAATAAGAAATGCAGTTTTTCAATCCAATTGCATCCAATTAAATGTAATTGAATCCAATTAAATTCAAAAAAAAGTATTTGCTATTTAAAATATGCATTTGGATAGAAAAAAATTTCAATCCATTTTAATTCATTCTCGTTCGCTGGGGAAGACCCAATCGAAAGGGTTAAAATGTTTGTCAATTTTCTCAAGAATAAATATATACGATTTCACACACATCTAATCTATGTTGGCTCGCATTGGTTGATTTGACATCTATCCTTGGATTTATTCGTTGAAGTCTACACCAAGATTGATACTTATTTTCATGTTATTAAATAATTATAATCTTTTTACGCAGGTATCATTATCATTTTTTCTCATAAGTATTTATCTTTAATTACCTGAGGTTCAAAAAATTGTTTGCTTTAAATATATAGATATTAAATATATAGATACTTACAAGAAAAAATAACAATGGTTTCTAAAAAAATTGCTGTCGCTTCGCGTATCTTAGCATCAAGACACTACCGTATCGTCTAATAATTATTTAATAACATAAAAATAAGTTGTAAGGAATTTTTTTTATATATACATATAAAAAAATTATGTTTTTATAAGTACACTAAAAAATTCTTAAAATACGCGAAAAGAGTAATTTTTTTTATGCAGAAACCATTACCATTTTCTCTCGTGAGCATCTATCTTTGACTATTTAAAGCAAAAAATTCTTTTGAATTTCAAGTAGTTAAAGATAAATACGATAATAATAGTATATAGATAATAGTATATAGATAAATAATAGTATATAGATAAATAAGATAGTTAAAGATACTTACGAAAAAAATGGTAATAGTGTCTGCATAAGAAAAATTATAATTATTTAATAATATAAAAATAATTTTAGAGAATTTTTTTAATACACATTTTTAAAAAATATGAATTTTTTAGTGCAATAATAAATTTTGTCAATTCTTACTTAAAACAAAAAAAAAGTGAAAAACGTTTCGTATTATATTATTGTAAAATTGCGTCAACATGTTCCAACATACTCCTGCCATAATTCCTACTCACTCTAATGAATGCATTGGAGTAAGTAAGAGCTATGATATTGGAGGAACATATTGGAGCATGCGACGCGAACAAACCTTATATAATTATATACAATTTTATATAATTTTGTATAATTATATATATATATTATATATGAAACATTTTATTCCGAATGGTGCTGCGATCATATTACAGTTATGTCAACCTTTTACCTCATAAATATATCTGTTTGTGTTTAAAATTTATAAGCTTGCAATTCTTCCGCATATATTTATCTTAATCATTTGTTTTTAGTACAAGAGGCATCTCACAACACAAAATTATGACATAGGATGTCTTTAAGTCGTCTTTTAGACACACAAAACGTCTTATGACCTGATACTTTTTGTTGTCTGGGATAATGTAAAAGCATTTTTTATTGTACAAATTATTTATGCAAACTATTCATGCAATTGAACCACTTGACTGATAAAATGTCTTATAACGCGTCAGTCTGTCATACAGCGTTGCAAGTATCGCATATTACCAAATATCAATATAGCACGCACAGTAAGTAATGCAGAAATATGAATTAACCTATTATCTTATCTCGGATTTAGAGATATTGGATTTTTGAATTAATGGAAGAGACTCAATTAGTGTAAAGATAATCAAAAAATACTAATAAAAAATGTCAAATATATAACAAACATTCATAAGTGTATATAAGGCTTATATAAAAAATAGTTATCAATTTTAAGATAAGTAAAAAATAAATTTATAATTTAACACTAACTTTTAAATTTATAAAAATATATTAATAACAACAATAAACAACATGTCCTATCCTACTTGCATTTGATATCAGTTTGGTGGTGGACAGGGCGAATTTGGCAATTTTCATAAATAATTCGTTAACCATTGCGAAAATTGTAAAATGATAGAGGACTTTTCTTCTCGGTTTAATCTATTCTGCCTCTATGCAAGATTTATCAAACATCCTGTATATTAAAAAAATTACAAATATTGAAGAATACGAACTATTTTTGATACTGCGTTCTAATAAACATTAAAATGTGCTATTCTTTATTTTGTATTGAAACGACAAATTTAATTTTTAATTATTAATTTGAAGACAAAAAGGTGACAATTATATGTTACAGCTACTTATTTGTTAATAGCGTGAAGCAGATTTTTTTGTATTTTTAGTCGAGTAATTCAAAAACAACATGGCGCCAAATATTTTAAGAACAGATATAAAAATACTTACGGAGAAAGATTTACAAAATGAGGAATCTTCGATTACTACAAAGACGATAAATGAAAATAATAAGAAAAACAGAAACGAGAGCTATATAAAAACTGAAGGCTGGTTCAAGACGGAGCTCAAATGGTTTAACATCGTAATTATTTGTTTTCTCCATTTAGGCTTCGCATATGCCTGTTTTACTTTTAACTTTTTCGAAAATCTGATGACGACTGCTTGGCGTAAGTATTCTTTGGAAAATTTCTTTTGTTAATTTGATTCTTTGATATCCTAAAACATAATAAAACATAATAAAAAAAGTAAAATTTAGACCATTAACGAATTAATTAAAATTGTAATGCATGTTTATAAAAAATACCACGTTTTTAATTTTCTGACAGCTACAGATCTGCAAAGACAATTGATTAAACTTACGCGATTGAAGAGAGCACGCAATGGAAGTTTAATAATAGACCAGTAAATTGCTTTTAAAAATTTCTCATTTCTATTGTACCATATCGATTATAAATCATTTTGAATTGTCAAATCAGTAAAATCCATGCTACTTACATGGTGCTTTTAAGAAATACGGATTATAATTCACGGATTATAATTTTAAAGCATTTCTAGTGTTCTAATTGCGTTCGACCTTTTTTGATTCAAGTATTAGGCACAAGTATAGCAGCAGGCTTTGGAGTCACCGGCGGTGTTCATCGTTTATGGACCCATCGATCTTATAAAGCAAAATGGCAGCTTAGAACTATACTTGCCACCTGCTATGCTGCGGCTGGTTTGGTAAATGAACGTTTTTAATTACCGTTTTATACATTACAAGACGGAAGAATTTTTCCTTACAATTGTATTCTTTTAGAATAACATATTCGAATGGGTGCGAGATCATCGGGTGCACCATAAATATACTGATACGGATGCGGATCCGCATAACAGTAACCGAGGATTCTTTTTCTCCCATGTGGGTTGGTTGATGATGAAGAAACATCCGGATGTGATCCGAAGGGGTCGTGAGATCGACATGAACGATATATTGGCTGATTCTATTGCTGTATTTGCTATCAAGTAAGTTTGTATAGAGAGTTATATAAATTATATGAAATAGTTTTATATTGAAAAAGACAAAACATAAGAAGAAAGAAAGGTATTACAAAAATGTTTTTGCCATGCCTTCGGAAAATGTGTGTTTATAATTATAATATTTTTATGTAGCCTTCTCAACTTCTCCGAACATAAGACATTTATTAAATTATATAATATCTTGTATAAAACTTGTAATTTGCATTTATAAGGGATATATTTTCAAAAACAGATGCAAAAACTCTGATTTCTTCTAAAATGTTGATAACTTTTGTGTAAAATTTCGTCATATAATTTCATAAATGTTGTCCTATAGGAGTTTGATTCATTTTGAAAGCATATATTTATTGTAGTATTTCGATATTTTTTTGCAGCCTCCTTTAGAAAACTTTTTTACATAAATTTTTTAACGTAAGATATAAAATTGCAATGAAAACTACACGCTGTAATTAATTAATGCTATTTTGCAGATATTTTCCGATATTAAATTTTATATTCGCTTTCCTGCTTCCGGTGATATTGCCTGTGTATGCATGGAATGAAACTTGGTCTAGAGCTTTGATGTCACAAATTTTTATTCGTTACGTTTTGATTTTAAACTGTGTATGGAGTGTCAACAGTGTGGCTCATATCTGGGGCTCAAAGCCATATGATGTGTAAGCAAATAATTAATACCAAAATTATTCATATATAATAAATTTGATCCAAAAAAATCTAAAGCTTTTGTCAATTTTTATAAGAATAATTTTGTCTCATTTATTTTAACAACAGGCATATAGCTCCGACGGAAAGCCTATTCGTTAACTATGTTACAATCGGTGAAGGATCGCACAATTATCATCATATTTTCCCGTGGGACTACAAAGCTTCCGAGTTTTTCAATTCCATAACCACAAATCTCATTAAATTCTTTGCGAGAATCGGCTGGGCGTACGATCTCAAAGAACCGTTTGAGCTCATAAAGGCCACCGTGATGAAAAAAGGTGATGGAAGTCATCCTTTGTGGGAAGCTGTGCCATATTCAGTTAGTAAAATTGAATAATAAAAGTAACAGAAAGTTGTTTTATGAAAGATCAGTTTTTTGAATCAGTTAACAACAAATGTACGCGCGATTCAGATAATTTATTTAAATTTATTTAAGACAATTCATTAAGTGAAGAAAATAATGTTATAATAATATAATATAATAATAACATTATATAACAATATAATAACAATGTTAACATAATAATAATATAAATTTATTTTTTAGGTTTCTCAGTAACACATGTTGGTTTTGCAATACATTTTTTAAATGCTTGTAGAATATTATGTTTAGGAAACGTCTATAAAATTAGATGCGAACCAATAGATACTACTTGGGCTGTAATATTTCAGTAGAAGTGGATTTTTGTAAATTATATATATATATTAGGTGTTGGAATTAATTCGTAGCGTTTTACAAGTGATGGGAAGTACTTTCATTAATGTATTTTTTAATGCTCATGTGAAATAAATAACATTCTTTCATTAAAAAACGCTACGAATTAATTCCAACACCTAATATATATATATAATTTACAAAAATCCGCGATTAAGTTTATTATAAACATCTGTTTTATCTTACCTAAATGTAGAAAATTACAGACAGGAGAGTGGAGAGAGATGTCAAGTAGCAATCAAATAGTAATAAAAAAATTAATAGAAATTTTATAAGAGAGTATTAACTTATTTTTTTTTTTGTAAAAAACACGTTTACGGAACAACTTCTTTACCTTTAGTTGAATTTGGCGTGAAATATCTCGCGTTTAGGCGCAAAGAGAATACTTTGAACTTCAGGTAGATAGTAGTCATTCATCAAGTCTCATTTCAAAATAAGAATTTAGAGAGTCTCAAAACTTTGTTTCGAGGTTAAATTGTCCTTGATGACTATGAATGCCGTTATAACTTACAAAACCACTTTTTATTACGTTATCTAAAAGAAAAACATTGTTTCTATACATATACTGATTATTGCGAATAAATATTATTATAATAAGGCAATCGGTAATCTAAAAGCTTAGAACGCTCGCAAGGAATATTAAAGGTCCCGGCTGAGATAATATTTTTCACAATAAATAAATTTATTTAAAGATTTCCAACATACTGGATCTTACTTCTATTAACCTGGACCCCCTCCCCACCAGCACAAATCGAGTAGAGACATGGTAAAAAATTTAGTGCTATTTTGTTATTAATTTGTTGCTCTGGAGTGAATTTTGTTGCTTCAACCGTTTAGCAGTAAAAAAAAAGAAAATAGGAAATCCAGGTTAATAGCAAGCTGGACTCCCCATAATGAAAAAATCAGGATTGGGTAGGTTAATTTCTTTTTACAAAGTTAAGTTAAAGTTAACAGTCTTGAAAATTTAACTTAAATAAAATACAATAAGTTAATCTATAATAAAATTAATTGAATTAAAAGTTAAATTAATAAAAAAAGTAATTAAAAAATTAAAAGTTAAATTTACTTTGATTATTTTATATAATTTTTCCTATTTTTCCTTTCTCATAGCTTATTTATTAAAGAATCTAGTTATTTTTGTTCAACGATGATACAATATAAATTTTCAAAACTAAATTATATACTCATTAGCCTCTCCCATTATATTTAAGGATTGGCTTCAAAAAAAATCAAATTAAAAATTAATAGCTGATAAAATGTAACTAAATTAAATTAAAAAGTTAAGAGTCTAAAATATAACTAAATTAAGTTAAAATTAATTAACTTTTTAACTTTTTAACTTAATTTTTATCTTTTTAACTTAGTACTACCCAACCCTGAAAAAATATAAGTATATAGAACTGCGATATAAAAAAAATAAGTGCACCATGTTTTGTTGCTTTTTTGTTGCTCCAAGATAGTGAAAAATATCGAAAAAATACATTATTAAACAAATCTATAAATAATCAAAACTGCATCATTTTGCGTCCTAATGTCATGACTACAAGATATACAAGTATAATAGAACCAATAGAACCAATAGAAGTCGTAGCAGTCGTACAGTCTTAAGTCGTAGAAAACCAACCAATCACAATCAAATATAAGGAGAATATTCGATTAGAATTGGTCAGTTTCTTATGACTTAAAATTTCACGATCATCTACGACTTCTACGTAGAGAACCCTTTAATCAATCACAGTCGAATATGAGAAGAATACTCAATCTTACGACCACTACGACTTCTACTGTAGACCTCACTTTAAGCCAGTTCTACCTTAGTTGCAAGCTGATAGCAAGTTTGTTGCGACAGCCATATGAAATGTTAATTTCAAAATCCAAGCTTCAGGTTGAAATGTCGCAACAAACTTGTGATCAGCTTGCAACTAATGTAGAACCGACTTTATTATATTATATGTACAAAATTTGTTGCTTGAAATAGATTTCAACTATTTCGCTTACAGACTTAAGCGGGGAGCACAGACTCTTGCATAACACATAATATTTAAAGCATAAGAAATTCAACCAATCAGAGTCCTTTATTTTATGGAAAGGAAGAAAATAAAGGACTTTGACAAGAGTCTATGCTCCCCGTCTAACTTTTTTTACGCGTATGTTTATGTGGCTATGCAAAGTATCGATATACCTTTAAAGCCGCAGCACAGACTTTTGCATAACGTATAACGCATAATGCATAAGCGAACTTATATAATCAGAATCTTTCCTTTCCTCCCACTCTATGGAAAAGAAGAATTTCGATTGGTTGTTTCCCTTATGCACTATGCATTATGCAAAAGTCGGTGCTGCGGCTATTAAGCTAACAGTTTAATTTAGAAACCCTCTAATCAGAGTTGCGACACATGATGATTTGAGCCGACTCTTGCAGGGTAGTAGTTTTAACAAAATCGATAACGAAGAGAGAAATATATTAGTATATCTGTTTAACCTTAACGCGGTGTTTCTCTAATTTAAAGTAGAAAGATTTATTTTTTCTACAAAATATAATCGAGAGGAGAGAGAGAGAGAGAGAGAGAGAGAGAGAGAGAGAGAGAGAGGAAAGAGAGAGATTTGTCCTTTATGAGATTTGTCCATATAAACAATTGCAATTTTCTAACATAGACGAACTTATAATGATACATATGATTAGAAATATATATTATATAAAGATATAAAATATATTTTATTTGCTTATTAAATATTTATTTCTCTATAATTAATTCAATTATTTATTCATATTTTCAATTATTCATTCCTTGTAATTTTTTCTCATGTCCTAATGGAAGTATAAATGAATTAAGATACTTTGGAACAATAATCTCAGTATTATTAGAACAAAATCGATATTACATAACAGACTATGATAATACAATAGCATTTTATTATACATCAAGCAACATATAGGGCATTCCATGCCAAGCTAACCACCCATTTTGCGAAGTTTCATGGATTTCGTTCATATTGCTTGAGCTCGAACAGTTTGATGAATAAAGATTTTTGGGCTTTCTCGTCGCAGCGCTCTCTTCGCTTGTCGTTAGTGGGCATGAAAGGCAAGTGGAAACCTGGAGCTACATTTTGAGCTATTAAAAGAAAATCGAGATTGGTTTTTTAGTCGCGCCGCCATTTTGAAAATTTAAAAACGGACAGAAATTATAAAAAATGATCTGATTGAAAAAAGAATATTTTCACGTGAAAAAGCATTCAATTTATTTCATAAGAAAATGTCAATATTTCATTTTTTTTCAAACTTGCCTTTCATGCCCACTAATGACAAGCGAAGAGAACGCTGCGATAAGAAAGCCCAAAAATTGACGGCCCTACAGTTCGGCAACCAGTTAGCCTACGGATCTATTATTCGGCGTAGAGTCTTTATTTAAACTATTCAAGCAATATGAAGTCCATTAAACTTCGCAAAAATAGCTGGCTTGATATGGAATGCCCCATATATGAGCTGCTTTTCTTTTAGATGACATAGTCGACATATTCAATCTTTGTTATTTATTGAATGTCAAGAAAGATAAAATTAGTATTTTCTAAGAGGAGAACAATAATTGCGACTGCAATATGTTAATTTGGAAGAAATACGAAGGAATTAACCAAGGCAGATAGAAAATATATATAGTTTATTGATATCCCCAATTGAAGACGACGTGCACTCCATATCTACGCATGCGTGAAAAAAATTTGTAGATACAAAAATTTTGATTATTACTAATCTGATTTGTATACGCGATCGTTTAGTCGTCTGCTCGGAAATTTTGCGTTTCTTTCCGCCGTGACACCTCACCTTAGTAACTCTAATTACGTAATTGAGTGGTGGGATCCGTGAGAGGAACGTAAGAGACTTGCATCAGCTTCTTCTTTGTGATCGCGCCGTCTGTGCTCTTGTCCACCTGCAGCAGGTCTTGTAACCTTTGGAAACCTTTTATGGCCACGACTGGGCAGATTAGTCGACCTCCGGGAGCCAGTTGGTCAATCAGCTACAAAAATTACATCGTTTATACATGTATTATATTCTACAGCTACGTTCCGTTATTTATTGCGAGTACTGAAAATCTATAATATACGGCGTCTACAATACAATTTTTAATGCATAAGGATAGGAGCATACAATATATAAAAAAATGAATCAAAGTCCTTCATTTCTTTTCTTTCCATGAAATAAAAAACTTTGATTGATTAATTTTTTTTTTCGCTTTATGCATTGTACACATGAAGAATAGAGACCAGGAAAACTAGGCTCTCAGAAAATGTGACCAAAACCAGGTTTCTGAATTAGTAGTGACGAGATACTATTAAAGACTGTCGGTCCTGAACAAATTTTCGTGACTATCAATAAAATTTAGGAAGATTTAGGAATAATTGAAGACCGGAAAATCATTAACAATTACAAACGATTCTAAGAAAGATGCCGCAAATGGATTTGAGATATCTCAAAAATTGGCTAAATTACGTAACTTGTTTATCGTAAATTTCTTCTAATTTCTTCTTCTAATTTTTAAACGGCTCGACTACAAATGACCAGCAAATCTCTACAAACAACTACAAACTGAATCAAAATATATTAGCTAATCTTTTTACTTTAAAATCGGATGAGTCATTTTTAAAAAAATTATGTATTTTTTAATATGTGGAACTACAAACGAAATGCTATCCTTTTTTTTTAATAAAATATTTAATTTATAAAAAGTCAGATGCCAGGTTCACAAAGATATCGAATATGAAAAGAATATTTGACTGTAAATAGTCAATTCAACTACAATCACTTATAACTATGTTTACGGCTATTGTAGAATAGGCGTTACACTTTAAAATCTCACTGTACACGTTGTTTAAATCTAGGCCACAACCTTGCTTTAAGAGGTTGCTTTAAGCTGTAAAAAAATTGACCAATCATAATTGATTATTTTTTTCACATTCGACTGTGATTGGAAATTTCAATTTATTACAACTTTATAATTTACAGCCTTTTAAAGCAAGGAACTTAGACTAACGTATTCGTGAACAGTACTCATAGCGAATAATGGAACGCAACTTATATCTATTTTTTTTTCTCTCTTAGATAGCATACTGGCGGTTCATTATTCATGCTCACCGTCTCCGGTAAAGTTTCGGCCGCTGCTCCAACGTGTATAGCGTTGTAAGGGCCGTCAGCAGGATGTCCCAATCTGCCGTCTCCCACTAGGCGCATTCATAATGACCTGTCGTTAGTCGGCAGTCTTTATCTTTTACCTTTACAGCAAAGCCACACAGTTGGTGGACAGTGTTCCGTTCGACTCTTCACGGCAACGTACATACCTACTCCACGTGGATAGATCACGGGTTTCTTTTATTCAGACTATGCATACATGTAATACTTCTTGAACGTTTTCTCTCATCGTGCAATGAGCTTTGCACGAAAATTCATGATAATCAGACGTAAAGGAAAGGCATAACATTGACGAGAGAAGGAGCTTCGACTGTCTGAGTGAAAGGACTACTAGGGACAATAACAGAAGGGACTGTAACGTTAACGGAGTACTGACAGCTTACCCACAAATTTGATGCGGTCCTCCTTGAGGAAGTGCGGGTTGTCCTCGCGAACGTTCCTAGTAGAGATCTCTATGAGTTCGGGAATATGCTCGATGCCTATTACGCGTCCGCCTGAGCCTACCATGAACGCCATGCAGGCAGATAGATAGCCCGAGCCAGAGCCGACGTCAAGTGCCTTGGCGCCGTCGAAGAGTTGATCAGAGAGGATAGACAATGCGTACGCATGCTGCAAGAAATATCGACATAATTTATCAAACCATTACCAAATAGATTAAATCTTATGAAATGTATATCATCTTCGGTGATAATTTTCTGTGCGATACGTTAATATCTTTGTTTGAAAAGTCTGCAGTCGTCAAATATATGTTTAACACAAAATAACATAAAAATAAAATAAAACACTCTGATAACCCCATTTCAAATTATATTCCTGGTCAATGATAAATAAACAAAATCCTATTAACATCTTTCTATATAGATATTCATTTATAATATTTAAGTGTTTGATTAACTTCACGTAACAAATTAGAAAGGAATCGATACCAAGCAGCATCACAAAAAATTTGCTCCCAGTTTTATATTTAGTTTGAAACTACGTAAGAATTATATTAATAATTTATGCCGTTTAAATTATTCCAATAAATACCAACTAAAAGTAAAATAATTAAAAGTAACATATCTACAACTAAAAGTACAATGTTATAACTTTTTAAACAATAAATGTTATGTGTACAACATGCTTTTTATTAAATTTATATTAATGTCAAGTTATAATAATGATGTTATCTTACTTCGTTTACTAGAATGTTTAAATAATTGTGAAATATATTTCTTGTATTTGTATTACATTTTGTGTAAACAAGTAAACGTTGAAATAAACCATTTTACTCGTTATACAAATATGTATTTTAAATTAATATTAATGAATGTGAAATTATAATATTGATTATGTTATTGTTAGTATTTACTGAGATGTTTAATATGTTTCACAGCTGTATACTTTTCCTATTTATGTCATATTTTAAGCAAAATGATCCATACAAACTATTCATACAAATATCAGCTTAATAGACATAAAACAGATAAAATATACATTTACCATATGCGGTGCACTAATAGTCACGTTGTAACCAATTCTTCTGGGACGATCGAGGTAAGGATCCGGTTCGTGGCAGTATTTCGCTCTGTCAACAGCGAGCATAGCGGCTTCTGCTCTGTCCGTTGCCAGTATACCAGCATCTGCGAATAATCCCTAATTGCCGTACAAAGCGAACAATTGTAATTCTAACGAATAGTAGACTTTGGTGCTATTAATTGCAATAATTAAGTCCTTCCTATGCATCGATCCTGCGACGATCGCAAAGGTCATTTACCTTTCAGCTTCGTCACCATCTCTTGGTTCGTAGTGCCATTGCAGTGCCATGCCATGCTTCGCAGGCTGTCCCTTGCAATCCACCGGGAAGAGCCTCGTAACGCAGCCGAGAAAGTCTGCCTTACATCATAAAACAATACACAGATGATCATGAATGACAACAGAGATGACGCATGACGACGTTTGCCAATGATTGATTTTATTCAAGCCGCTTAACTTCTGGCGACAATAAACGATCAACGAAAGATGTTCGAAAAAAGCGGAGGACAAAAAAAACGTACCTTGAAAATTTCAGGGCAGCCTCATTTATCGCGAAACGTCCTCATCAGTCCTCATTCCTCCTCTCGTACCTAATATGGCCGTGATGACACAAGTGGCGACCTTAAGGGAGAATCGTTGGTGAGGGAAGCAGGAGGGAAAGGAAGGAATTAAACAGCTGATGCGGTGGCTATCGATTTGCCTCTCGCCCGCGAGATTGGAGCGCGGATTTAAATTTGCGAACCGTTCCAGAACGCGTTAAACTCCGAAATGAAGATTTTTGTAACTGTAAATATATCAACGTGAGACATAAGTTATTGATGTCAGCTTTCTTAATTCGGTCTTAGAATTCGCGGGGAAGCAGCCGATGGATGAAAAGAGGAGACTCAGGAATCGTCAATACAATATTAACTCTTAATACACGTTAGTTAGATAAAAATTTTTTTCTATTCGAATGCGTATTTAAAAAAAAAATAGCGAATACTTTTTTTTGGATTTAATTGGATTCAATTGAATTTAATTGGATTCAATTGAATTTAATTAGATTCAATTGGACATAATTGGATTGAAAAATTGCATTTCCTATTCAAAGTTTTGAATTGAATTCACAAGTATTCACAATGTGTGTGTTGTGCACAGCTAATATTATTTTTAGATTGAAAGGCATAGAGATACGCTCCATGCAATTCCTATAAATGAATAAAAATGCATTCAGGATTGAAAAGCATTTATTTTAATATTCGTGAATCAATATTTCTGAAAATCTGAATCCATTTGAATTCATTTTAATCCATTCTTGTTTGCTGGGCGCAGGTGCTCTTAATATTTAAAACAAAAAAGAAATAGGCAGGATACGAATGACTCGGACATGTGTATATAAGAGTTAAGAATGTAAATACAATTTTAAGAAACTATATATAATTATTTCATTAATTAATTTATTTGGCTAAATAAAATCTTGATACTATTTAATAGTGAATTTAATCGCTCGCACTTTATATATATATATATATTAGGTGTTGGAATTAATTCGTAGCGTTTTACAAGTGATGGGAAGTACTTTCATTAATGTATTTTTTAATGCTCATGTGAAATAAATAACATTCTTTCATTAAAAAACGCTACGAATTAATTCCAACACCTAATATATATATATATATAAAGTGCGAGCGATTAAATTCACTATTAAATAGTATCAAGATTTTATTTAGCCAAATAAATTAATTAATGAAATAATTATATATATTAAGTAATGAAATAAATACATGTTCTATAAATATTCTATAAATATTTTTTAATATAATAAATATAGTAAATATATTCTTAAACTAGATGACAATATCATTATTGAGTATTGAGTCATTTAAAATATTTATATTCTTTTTACACGAAAAAAATGTTTAATTAAATTAATTAAAATTCTGATGGAAATTGAACAATCCAGAATTCTGGTTGTCTATTAAATTTCTTACTAGAATAGATAGTCTTACTAGCTTAAATTAATCTAGAATTCTAGTAGATTCAACCAATAAAATTTTGGAGCGTATTCGAATTCTTACTTGGCGTTCCCTGGATGTCATATTCTTGTTTAACGTTCGGTGAAGGAGAGAGTGATATCTAAATGACACAGATGGGAATCTAAACATAGTCCTGGTTATCTCAACTAGAATATTCTAATAGATTTAGAAATTTGATAGATATAACAAAAAATCTGGATTGTTTATTTTTCATCAGAATTCCAGTTAATTTAACTCAACATTTTTCTCCGTATACATTTTATTTTGCTAATTTTATTTATATATAGCAGCTATATGCACTACACATGTATGTCTAAAATCTTTACGATGTTTATACATCTTTTCGACATGCATGTTATCTAATTGTAAACAGTGTAATGCAGGATAAAATTTGTTATAAGAAATTCTATAATTTGCTATGAAAAAGGAGACCTTTAATATAAAATCAATACATGATCCGATAGACAATCTTAAAGTTTTTTTATATTATAGAAAAAATATAAATATAAAATTTTATATTTAAGATCTCATCCCAAGTCTGATTTTAAATGACGTCAAGATTTCATCTGATATTAATAAGATAATAATAGTACAATTAATAAGATAATAAAAGTACTTTCGAGATATCACCTTTATAGGCGAGCGGTTTACCCCCTCCCCCCCTCCGTTTATTAATCGACCAATCAACGTTCTAGTGGCTGAAAATTTAATTCGATTTCTCATATTATTTTGCAGAAAAAACATCTATACTTCATTTCTTTATTTATGATTGTTGACGGAGGCGTTATAAGGCATTAAACAGATACGCTCCAGCATAGGAGTTTGGAGGTAAACCGCTCACCTCTAGGACGATTTTACACATATGATGAAACTATAATGGTTAATTAGATGTTTAAAACGACATTGAAGAACGGAATTTAAACATACTTTCGTTGACGTAACTTCAATTACGTTCAACAACAATGATTCGGGAATTTCGTCCTCCAATTTCGCTTCAAACATCTAGTGATCTCTGATCAATTTTTTATTTTAGCTTTGACGTATCGTACGCGATGTATCGACGCGCAGGATCTGAATTGAAAGATGTTTCGGCAAATCTTTAATAAAAAAATAAATAAATAAATAAATCTTTAGGAAAAATATTCCCGAATGGAAAAGATTACGAGGAGACCTCGAATACTTACAATCAGGTTCACTTAACGTTCGCAATGCTCGCGAATATCATTTCATCCTTATCATTTTCAAATATTAAACAAGGATGAAATGATGCTTGCGCGGTCCGAACGTTAGTGAAATGCACCTACATCGCCGCTTGACGTTAAAAAATCGTCACACGTATTATCACGCAACAAACGCAAACATAGGCACACAATTCCGTATCGAAATTAGCTTGCTGCAAGTCGTAATTTTATCAATTCTAGTCGTAATTTTATCAATTTTAGTCGTAATTTTATCAATTTTAGTCGTATCAATTAATCGCAGTGTTGGATAGCAGTAGTAAATTAAATTTTCCTCCGCGAGATGCTATGGCAATAAATCATAGCATTCTCGCTTGCACAGTGATTTATATAATAAGAGACACAAGATAAAGGAAATTATATTCTTCTTTAGCGAATCCATTTCTCTGTGTAAAAGAATAAAATTTCATGTCATGATATCCGTGAAGTATATATAATGAATCAACAATGGTATCTTTTGATATCTTTAAAAAAGAACTTTTAATTATGACGATTCGATGTCAATGTCTATTTATCTTAGCCACATAGCCCGTATAAATTGTGTATAATAAATAATAAATGCTGTGAATAAAGTAGAATCATATATTCCATTCTATTGCATGATAGAGAAATAATAAATATAAATATGAAGGCTATTGGAGTCAACACTAGTTTTAAACATGCGTAATAATTTTAATAATAAATTAATACAAAAAAATTAGATTAAAAAATTGGAACGTTTTAACTCAACTTTGTTTGAGTTTTAACCTATATCTTTTAAACATAATGCCGCTAATTTTAAATATTGCATCGCAAATCAATAACTCTAAATTTTCAATCTCTAAAAAAAAATAGAATCTAAAATTTAAATTAAAAAACATTTTTTTAAACCTGAAGTACGATCTCAAGAAATTATAGTTATTTCATTGAGACTGCATAAATTTTAATATTATCTAAGATCAAATTTAAGTATAAGATCTGTTCATAATCCAATAGACTATATATAAAGTATAATAATATAAAGTTTTATTTGAATTTAATTAATATAAAATCTTATTTAAGATTAAGATCGTATTCCAACAATAAAATGATAAAATGGCTCTACGTTATAACACAAAAAATGGACATTTAGTCGAAAATTTATTTAGACACGTATCTTTGATATTTTGGGGCCTTTTCATATTTATCAGGCTGAGATTCCAGGTTACATCGATTACATCTATCAGAGTTTAATGCTTTTCTTTAAACCGACGAGGGATCCGATAAGTGGTATTTGCTGTGTACATAGAATACCATGTGTACTTATTATTCACATGTTTTCATTAACGAGTGACATCTAGATAAGAATGCCCCTTCTTAACAAGAATTTTTTCGCATATAGTGATCGTTATAAACCGAATTACAATTCGTATACAGCATATTTTACACTCGTCAAGTGTAAAACAAGCATTCTGTTTATACCAATACATTGGTACTTCATAAATTTATTCCTAATCGACCCTTGGCTCGAAGCTGACAAATAATTACAGAATTATTAGTGCGGTCATTCTTATTTGAAAAAACGTGCAATGGAGAAGTGCGAAAACCCATTGAAGGAGTCAGTGAAGGAGTCAGGGAAGTTGCGGCAATTCCTTGCCACAATAATCAGTAAGTTGGAGAAGAAAGAATCTCTTTTCTCGACTCTTCCTCAAGGAGCAGAAGAAATATACGACGCATGCAATGGCTTCAATCGAAGGAGAAGAACTTCCTTTAATAGTAGTTCTTCATTGATGGATACGACAGCATTTAAAAATAAAAAAGAATTATAAACTGAACATATGAAAATAAAAAAGATCAATATTTTTAAGCAATTGATATTTAGACAGTGATACAAGTATGATTATTCTAAGAAATTAAATTACTCTAAGAATTAAATTATTCTTATATCAATGTTACTTACAAAATGACAGATTTAATACAGTATTATAATGTATTGAAGAATACATTAAGAAAATATGTCTATTACAATTAATTTCTATTGAATCGTCGAAAGTTTTATTTATTCCGTGATATGTATTTGCAGTAAATCAGTTGACGTTGTCTTACGGAATCGTGATAGGATGGACGTCACCATCAGCGCAAATGTTGCAAAGTCCTTCGTCACCCGTGGGAAACCCTATGACTGATAACGACATATCCTGGTTGACTGGCACTTTGTGCCTAAGTGGTACTATCATGGCTGTGCTAACATCAGTGATACCAGACAAGTTTAGTCGGAAAAGATTAGGCTACATATTAGTGGTGCCAATAATTATCGCCTGGTTGTTGATCATGTTTGCTACCGAGCACATGTATATCTATGCGTCGAGGATTCTGAGTGGCATCAGCGGTGCTACTATGTTCTTCGTCATACCAAACTACGTGTCGGAAATTTCATGCGACAGTATCCGTGGCATGTTGGCAAGTATCTTGATACTTTCCGTAAATGCCGGGGTACTAGTGGCTTACATTCTGGGTGGCGTAATGTCCTTCCGTGCCTTGCCCGTGGCTGTCATAGCGTTAATTCTTTTGTTTCTTATCACTTTCGTCTTCATACCGGAGTCGCCATTATACCTGGTGCGTCAAAATCGTACGCACGAGGCGATTAGGTAAAAAAAAAAAATGAAATAAACAAATATTCTCTTTAAAAGCGAAGATACATTGCAATTTGTTGTTTCAGAGTCTTGAAGTGGTTGAAAGCTGGAAACAGTCTGGAAGCAGAACGTACGTTATCGCATATACAGTTGCAAATCAAGGAGACTGCATCTATAAAATCTGCCAAGTTTTCAGATTTAGTTAGAGACAAAGCAACGATTAAAGGACTCATAATTGTCTTGGGTCTGTTCATCGGTCAACAATTTTGTGGCATTTTTGCGATGGTAATTATCAGTGATAGATAGCTCATGGACTCAGGCATTTAATGCTTACAAATCCTTCAAATTCGCTTTCTTTTTAAATGTACAGTGGCGTGCAAAAGTTCCCGGTCAGTGATATTTTGTATACTCTAATTTATAAAAAAAAACCGATAAAATTTTAATTCATTATCAGATGTTAGTACAAGATTTCGTTATCCACATCTTGTACTGATATTCGATAATGATTAAAATTTTATCAGGCTTTTTTTATAAATTAAAATGTTACTAGCCGGAAACTTTTGCACGCCATTGTATAAATTGAATAGTACATCCAATATATTGACAAAACTTCTACGAGACTTCAATTTCATTTTATTTAAAACTTTATTTTTGCAAAATGACAAACTGAATTTTTGACTTTTTTCATCTAGATCAGTAACACGGAAATGATTTTCAAAATGTCCGGCAGTTCGTTATCACCGAATATGTCATCTATCATTGTAGGGGCTATACAGTTCCTTGGATCGTGGTTAGCGACATTATTAGTGGAGCGTGCTGGTAGACGGTTCTTGATTCTTCTATCCTGTGCGGGAATGTGTGTGTGTCATTGTATAATAGGTGCATTTTATTATTTTCAGAACTTGCAATATGAAGTGTCTGCTTATTCTTGGATACCGGTGGTAGCATTGTCTGCCTACATGATATTATTTGCTTTGGGAATGGGAAACGGACCCATCGTGGTGATGTCTGAGATATTCAGCCGTGACGTAACCAGCCTGGCTTCGGCCATAAGTGTCTCCATAAGTTGGATGTGTGCATTCATCGTGACGAAAAGCTTCTCGGATCTCATTAATTTGTTAGGCTTGCATGGTTGCTTCTTTCTCTTCGCTACTTTCTGCACATGTAATTTTCTGTTCTGCTTCATATTACTACCAGAGACCAAAGGACGGTTACGCGAAGATATTGTGGATGAACTTAATGGCGTGCGATGTACAAATAAGAACAATATTAAGCATATCATTGGATTAGATTCAATTCACGCGGCGCATGTGTGAAAATATTATCTACGTTCAAGGGATCTGAAAACTAATAACACTATAGTGAAGAAATTTATAAAATATCTTTATAATTTAATGTTGTACACAATTGTGTACAGAAGTTTACGTGTTGTTAGTGTCTCAAAATTTTACTAATATAATTTTCCTTTACTAATAATGTGTAGTACTCGTAATAATTTTAGTTGTTTAGTCCTTACATTCCATTTCATATTTCCAAATTTATTCGTTACTTAAAATTTGGAATATTTGCTCAAGTATTTTATATGTGTTCATTATGAAAGTTGTCTAGCTTATTCTTTGTACAACTCTTGAACATGTAATATACATGAACAAATATTTCAAATTTTAAGTAATGAATAAACGACCTTCGGTCAAAACCAGACTGATTATACTTTATTAATATGACATGAATTGTGAAAAATAATTGAGTAAATATGTAAATCGCTTCGTACAATTAAAGGGAGTCTTGCGTTATTTACTTTTAACCGATTCACTGCTTCTTCCGACATTTTATTTTTTACTAACATAAAATTTATCAAAATCATTTAAGTTTGCATTGTATATAACATAATCTCATAATATCATATCTTATCTTGTGTGTTTTACAAAAGCTATAAAAATATTTATACATGTGAAAAATATTAATACATGATACACATATATGGCACAACAGATATAGCAGAATTGACGTTAATGAAGATATTAATAATAAGATTCAAAAAATGAAGATATAAAAAAATTGTATATGTGTTTTGTGAATGTTGATTGACTGGTTTTAATAGAATAGAACTATTATGAAAAATAAACAGATATATAAAAAATATGTACATAATTCTACAATTACTTATTTTAAGTGATGTTGAAAATGCATTTATTGTGTGTACATTAAATAGTATTAATTATATTAATAATTAATATAATTAATACTATTAATTATATTAATAAAATTTTTTTAATTAATATTAGTTATGATAGGATTAAAATTTTTATGTAAAATAGAACTTTTTATTAATAATTAAAATTATATGAATGTATTAGGTGTTGGAATTAATTCGTAGCGTTTTTTAATGAAAGAATGTTATTTATTTCACATGAGCATTAAAAAATACATTAATGAAAGTACTTCCCATCACTTGTAAAACGCTACGAATTAATTCCAACACCTAATATGTATGCACAAATATACATTTATACTTAAGTAGATTACAAAGTATGCATTTCTCATTTACATTTTCCTGTAATAAAATATGTATAAATAAAAATTCTGAAATTATATATAAATGCAAACTAATGCCTTATAAATATTACTAATTTAATTACTACATTAATTTAATAATATTTAATTTTCTATGCGTATTTAAAAAATGCGTATTTTCTATGCGTATTTAAAATACGTTAGACATAAACTAAAAGACAAAAAATTATATCACTTTCCACAAATAAATATTATCAATCATCAGTCGTTCTTTTGCGCACGTTCTTATTACCGATTTTTCTTTTTTTAAAAGTAGTGGCTGTTTCTTCATCGTCACTGTTACCTGTATTAATTTGTATAACAGTTTTTTCTTTAAAAGTCCTCTGTAATGGCGGTGGCTCTATCTTCGTAAATGTGGGCAATTGTATTTGTTTCTGTTGTTTTGGCAATTGAAGATCCACTGATTTCTTCTTGCTAAAATATTAAACGTTTTTGCATTTATCTTGAGACTGTATAAAAAATAATATAGAAAATTAATTAATCTTCAAGTAATTTGATTCTACTATAGTACAATAAAATACCTATATATATTTGTGTCTAATAAAGTTATGCATATATGTATACATACAATAATATTGTACTACTAAATAATTGTACATTAATCAGCCAATTGATATAGTTCAATTTCTAACAGTTTTTATTCATAATCCGTGAAAACTTACGCATCGATTTTACTCGAGAATTAATATTAAGAGTAAAAACTTGTTGCCGCGACAAATTTTCGTGAAAAATATCTTAATCCATTTTGGATTAAGCAGAGTCCAAGCAAAATAATATAGTGGAATAGTATAAAATATTTACGTTGTCTCCACGATTTGCCAGGATCCGTAAGGTTGCGATCTCTCAGGTACACTATAGTCTCGCCAGTAAGGTCGTTCTTCTTCAACCGCTTTCTTCTTTGTTTCCACGCTTTCCTCAGCATCTTGGACATCATCGTTTTCAATTGATCGTTTCCTGAACTCTTTCATCTTCTCTCTCTCGACGTTGGCCCGTTGCTCCTCGAGAATATCTGCTTTTTTGCCCGCTTCTTCCTTATCCAATTGTTCCATGAGCCCTCTCTGGATCACCTCTTCCTTCGCCTCTTCTTCTTGCTCCATGAAAGTCATGTAGCCCTCTTCCGGAGGCTCCCAAACCGATTCTAATGTATATCAAATATTTATGGAATGCTCGACAACAGGTATAATGAGATTTATTTATTCATAATATACTTAATCTTAAGAAAAAAACAATGCAAAGCTTATTAAACTTACAAATTCAATATCAATTAAAAATAAAAGGAACAAGTCTAAACTACGTTCGGAGAGCGCGCTATCAGCGTTATTTTGTCATATTCTCGTTTCACGTCTAATAGACGATGAAGATAGAATGATACAAATAGCACTAATAATGTCCATAATCATAATTTCATTAACATAACAGAAATTTAAAAATCTTACATTTTAAATGCTATTTGAGAGACATAGTTTTTGACAAAGATAAACATATAGTTATGTAAATTAAAAAACATACAAATGTGAAAATTATATTAGTTAAAAAACAAATATAAGAATTGCTGTACAACGTCTGCAAGAAAAATGAAATGCTAATATATTATAGTTACTGTCTGACGAAAAAAGATATCCAAAAGGCAGACAGGCAAAAAAATAAAAAAAATCGACAAAGGTATACCCACCGTTCGTTTCAATGTGCCAATAGTAAGTGTATCCTTCGGGACTACGAGCCTCATACCACAGTTTTCTGACGGGTGCGGTCGGACAATCATCCTCCTGAGTCTTCTTCCCTTTTCCCTTCGCCTTACCCGATTTACTCTTCCCCGGAGTCCTGTTCTCGCCACTGTGCTGCTGCTGGACTCGTGGAAACGACGGCGCGCCTTTTGATAAAGTTGTCGGGTCACAAGGATCCACTTTTGGCAAGAACTGGAAAAGTTTCAATTGAAAAGTTCACTTTGCATTGATGAATCACGTTCTAGATTTTTTTAGAAAATAATAGACGTATGCATAATCAAAGATGCCGCAAGTAATCCGACTTTTATTCCAAATCTTATAAACCTAGTGAATACTTGTTTTGTTTAATCATATCATGTTTTAATTGTTTCGATCATTAAATAATTTAAAAAAATCAATTTGAATTTATGCACCTGTCCACTATTGTTTTTGAATCTTGGAACCGTTTCTGGAGCGGCTGACGGTATATGGTTGCAATTTTGAGGCATTTTTATCTAGAAATACACATATTACATCACGCTAAACACTGAATTAAAAATATGTATAATAGAGGAATGATTATATATTTTTACTAAATTTCGTTATTTTAACGTAGAAAAAAAAATTATTTCTTTCTGCGCAATCTTTAAAATATTACATCTAATATTATTATTTTTTCTTGATAATAATATCTAAAATTAAGAGATTAATTTTAGATAAGTATAGCTTACTTCTTTTGTTTCTATCCTATCCAGTTTCTCTTTAATGATTCTCTGAGCAGTCATATCTCGCGTGTTATTCTCAACATCTTTCAAGTACGCAGCCATAGCCGCCTAGTCCAAAAAAAGAATGATTACTTATCATCAGTATTTTCATGTCTTAATCAACAACTATATATAATCATACATTTTCCATTTTCTTGAGGTCATCCTCGAATTTTTTATTCTGTTTTGCCTGTTTGGCGCTATTCTTGTGGATCTCCTTGAGCCGCTTACTGACATTTTCCTTGTGCTTCTTGCCGCCTTCATGGAAGTCGATACTCGGTTTATTATCGGCGATCCAGCACTTGCAGAAGTCGCAGAACTTACGTCCTTGGGACTTCCAATAATCCGCCCTGCAATCCGTTATCACAGCTAGAGTGACACCACATAAATATTTACGACATCATAATATGGAATCGACGCATCGGCAAAATTTGTCAAGTTACGAGTGAATTTAAATATATTATAAATATATATATACAGTATTCCCTCTCTAATGCTAAATTTGTACAACAAATAACGTTCTTAAATTTCAACTTCCCCTACGAAGTTTCAGATATCTAATTATACCAGATGTCTTATTATATAATCTCGTTGTGTAAGATATGTATTTTTATAAATCTCAAACTAAAATGCATGCGAGTCAGAATAGTCGAAAAAGTTCTATTCTCGACGCTATCGATCGACAGAGTGAATAATTCATTCGATTGTGGTTTGGGCTGTCTTCCCGGAGCAATTATTGGAGAAAATGCGATGTTGCCTATGTGACCTAGGAGAAATGTTTTCTCCTTTTCGGGATGAGAACAAATTAGTTGGTAATTAGTCTCCGACCTACGCAGCCTTGAGCGTCATTCGACCTTCGCATCACGTCCCAGTTGCGACTAAAGGATTCCTAGGGAGCTTAATGAAAGCTCGACATATTGCCAAGTATTGCGACAGATGGAAACTAAAGAAAAAATGTGTGCATGCTTTGAGTTTTGCATCTTCTCATCTTATCTTTCCGTGATTTAAATTGAACAGTGGAAGTAAAACAAATAACAACGAAGTGCAATAAAATTTAGATAAAATTGTCTCTCCAAGATCATCAGTTCGAAATATTTTGGATACTGACTTTTATTTTATAACGAATAACGTAACTGTTTTATATTTTCAGGAAAATTTTTGCGCTATCAACATTTATATCACATTCGATGTGCAGATAATTAATTCCAGTTGAAAATTTCATAATAGAACGTACATCGAACATACTCTTGGGAAGACGAAGCTCTAATTAGGAACTGCCAATTAGAAGCGGAACCATGTCTAATTATTACTAGAGGAAGAATTCAGGTCGGGACATCGGCTTGCTAATTTTGCCAAGGTACGCAAGCGCGAATATTTTTAGATAGAAATTAATTTAATCATGACAATTCGTCTTTATTCAGTCAACCAAATGGTGACGAATAATTATGTAGACTTCAATTTACATCTTTCAAAGGATGTTTTATTGAAAATTATATGAATAGCTTAAACCAAAATGATTTACACAATAAGGGAAAACGAATAAACGAGCAAATACGAGATTTTTAATAAAAACAAATTAAAATGATATAATTACAAAATGTATACGAGAACAATGGTCGTAAGACGTTTCGTACTCAGAGAGTCTTTATCAGTTGCATAAAAATGCATAAAAATGTATAGTATAAATAGTGTGTTTAATTTCCAAATTACATATATGATTAGAAAATATTCTTCACATAGATAATGTTGAGACGCTTCTCTATGTATTTCCTCATAATAATGAATTTCGATCACGTATATATATTCTCATAATAAGAGAAAACAATTCGTCGTTATATCAGGCGAGAATGTGCAGTTTTGTCAAAGTAAGAATAATAAATTAAAATAATCTTAAACAATATCAAATCAATAATCTATTTACAGTCGAATTTATAAAAAATAATCAATTAAAGAACATTAATAATGTTATAGTAATGATTTATGTATATCGTTAAATTAATAAAAATTATTTGATAATTTAGAATTATAAACTTACGGTCAAATAAGTAAAAAACTTAAAAAATGTTCAATCGACAAATTATAAAAATATGTACCTAATATTTGATCAAATTTTAAAATTAATGTAAAAGACTGACGAGTCGTACATAGTTATTAGGTGTTGGAATTAATTCGTAGCGTTTTACAAGTGATGGGAAGTACTTTCATTAATGTATTTTTTAATGCTCATGTGAAATAAATAACATTCTTTCATTAAAAAACGCTACGAATTAATTCCAACACCTAATATAATTTTAGTTTATAACAATTGCATACATAACAAGAGATAATTGATGTTTATCGACAATTGGAATTAAATCATTTTTTTTTTAATCAGAAACACGCAGGAAAGAACTATAGTTCTAATACGAATGAATTATGAGATATTAAACTGACAGTAAATTAATTTTTAACGGACTGCGAATTCGTGAGAGTAGAGGTAAAAAATGTTGTTAATTTATATTATAGTTTATATTGAGTAAACATAGAAATATGATTTTAGTGGAAATTAGATATCCTAAGCCTTCCCATATTTCTAAAATAATTGATATCGATTAATAATGATAATGATTAAACGATATTAGCCAACTCAAAACTACAATTTAATTGCATTTTCTCTTTAAATATTAATCGTTAAAATTAAACAAAAATTCAAAGATAAATCTGTAAATCGCAAATATTTGTAAATATTTAGTATCAAATTTCACGACAAGGAGAGAAGTATTATTGAACAATAAAAATTGTCTGATCTTGTTAATTAATGCCAATGAGTAATCTTCTGTTAAGATGGTTCGATTCATCTTGATTGTTTCTTTTTGTCGAGTCACCTCCAACGAAGCCACGAACAAAGTTTCAACCTGTTGCTGTACCGAACTATCTTGTCGCAGAAATTCGCTTTGACAATAAACGTATCTCATACAGTGGAGCCCGTTTCTACTACAGGTATGTCTCGTTGCGCTCTATTAACATTTTATCAACATCTTGTAACTGGTATTTTATGCAGGATTCAATTCAACTGTGACAAAGCGTAATAGTAATGAAAACAGCATCAAAGTTAGAAAGATTTTTTTTTTTAACGGTGGTTCTTTGAAAAATTTTCGTTTGAAAAACTTCTATTCTGCTTTTATGTTCGGGAAATAATAAAGTTTTATGCATTTTATTACGTCGATGCAAAAGGTTTGTCGTTTTTCCATTGTACTTTGCATTAAAGTTAGAAAACCACGAGGTTCTTTGAAAAAAAAATAGAAAATTTTTTCTAGATGAAGACATTAAAGTCCTCGACAGAAATTTCACTTCGGTTTGTTGACAATTTTATTTGATAAAAAATAACAGATCTTTTGTAATCTGATAAAAATTAATAGCAATAGAATTTCTTTAATTATCAAAATCTTTAAAAACGATGTTAATTTAAAAAATTCTTTATGTCAATTCTTTCCTTAAATGTATCCTAAAATACAATAATTTTATTAAAAAATACAATAATTTTATAAAAAAGATAATATTTTTCTCTACATGTAGATACGGGTTGTGTTAAGCTGTGATGAATTTTGATATCTGTAGCACTTACGGGACGAATAACTAGATTATCATCTGGAACGGCTCAATGAATATTCATTGAAATATTGTGGGAATCTCAAGACTGAATTAATCCCTGAGGTGTAAACAGATTACAATGTTTCATCACATAATATTGTTCTTGGATTAACACTAGAACCGCGGTTGTGCCATGCTTGATTCATTGACAATTAGTTCTTTTTTTTTTCGAGTTAATTTGGATTTGCACGTGGAATTTTAGATTTTTGACTTTTCATAAATAATCATCATTATATAAGTACAAATAATTTTACTTTTATAGTGAAAACCCTCACTCATCAAAAGCTAAAAATTAATAAATTTACCTGGAATCGCGATTGCGTTAATTTAGACCTGTGGTTCTAGTGTTAACGGAAGTCGAATTTCACGTATTCTTTCAATAACCTCTCCGAAACAAAATGTACTTGCATGGTTTTTGTATGATTGTAAAATTATTGCCATTTAAAAAAACCTATATATTAGTGTATATTATATTTATAGATTATTTTCATTAAACCATGATTGAATTAAATAAAAACATATTTATAGTTATATGTATTATATTTTAATAAAAAAGGATTTGCAAAAAATCAGCGGCAAAAATAATAAAAATTCTGGTAATAGAAATAATTAAAATTGCATCGTGATTCTTTCAAATCGTGATGACTTGAAGAAAAAATTACAATTCGATTTATTAAAACGTTTTAAAAGCAAGATGTCAAGCTTTTAGATTGTTTAGAGGAAAGATGAAAATGATTTCTTATCAATTGTGTGCACGATCTCAAAGTTGAAGTTTCTCAATTATGTACAATATGTACTTGAAAATTAAAGAAAATGCTGAATTTTCAAGATATAAAATGTTCTTTTTTTCAAATTACAGTATGATTATATCTTCCTATATCTCTATAAAGTTATATAAATATGTATATTCATTTTAATCTCGAAATGACCTTTTAATTTTATTTTAAAGAATGTATTTATATATTATTACACGATCTTGAGAGAGACGATCGTTAGTTTTAATATTCCAAAATTTAATTAGCAATATACAGTGTTCTTAACGAGTGATTCCGAACGCCTGGCGCAGCATCACGGGAAGTAATCACTGTAGATGAATTAGGGCAATATGGAGCAGGTAGAGCATGTGAGCGAGATTAAGCAAGATCAATATATAAGATTTCAAAGCACACGGCCATTGGCCGAGTTCCAAAGTGGAAATATCCCTCCTCCTTTGGCGATCCTCTGTCATTCCTGTCATGCACCGTTGCCTTTGCATACCGAAGGCTAATGTACACGTAAATTGTCGAACGTGTGTCACCATAAATCCGTTGTCACGCGCGTACAGAAAATGCGTACAGAAATGTAACCGCGTGCATATCGTTGTTGCAGCAACAGGTCCTCGTGACTGCGTCCAGCTGGTATAAATCAACGATTGTCAAAATGCGATTGGAATTTATTGATTTTCTCGTGTAGCAGATGTAAGGTTGTTGATATTGCGTCTTACAGTTCAAAAGATTATTCTTATAGACGCGACTCGAGAAGCGCGCGTTAATCTTGACATTTCAGAGACGCCCAGTTCCATTCGCGAGAGAATCCACCCACGAAAGTGTCCAGTTGTAATTCTCACGAAACGAAGACGTGATCTTATTAGCGTGATTGCTGAACTGCGTTCAGAAACTTCACCCGGATGCATCTATAGATACTGTGATCATATTTTCTTAGAGAAAATAAAAGATAAACT